CTGACCAGCTCCCTCTATATGTCTTGGTTGCGTACCAGTAACCGCCTCCCTATAAATGATCTTCCAGTTCATTCAGCCCATTTTTTACTCTGTCTGCCTCTTCTTTTGCTTATGGTGGTACCTTGTAGAATGGTATTGGAAAAAGATCAGCACAAGATCAAATGTTCGAAATAATACAAGAATATTGAGAATTACTAATCTCAGAAATGAAATACTAAATTAGTGGGAATATTATGGACACCTATGACATGTCCCTACAATTTCACTATTCTCGCCTTCGTAGCTATTATGAGGTCTTAAACCGGGCCTGTTTCTTGTCTGATGATGTCCTACACGGCTTCATTTGTGTTGCGGTCTACATTAGAGACGCCTAAGATGGTTCTGTAACATTTCATTTCTAACGCTTCAGTTCTTCGCTCTAATTCCACTGTTTACATCTAATGTTCACAGGACAAAGAAGGCCAATGCACGCAACGGTCGGATTTTAACATTTTAGACACATTCTTTTTACAGTTTTTTTTTAGTTTTACAACAGCTGCCAGTATTTATATTGCGCCTGAAAATATTTCTATTCTTAATCCCCTCCCCGCTGATAATCGAGCCAAGATATTTGAATTGCCGAACTACTTTACGTTCCTGACCATCGACTTTTATCTTGCTTAAAACCCTTTCTCATTGTTCTTCATGAGTTTGGTTTTTCGGCATTAAACTTCATGCCATATTTGGAAGATGAACCTGGTTGAAACATCTTCCAGATATGAATGTAAATGATCTTAATAATGCTGTATTCATTCTCTCGTCTTCTCCCGGCTGGGGTCGCGAGATTTTTGGGTCCAGAGATGAAAAGGCACGAACAATTTTAAATTCTATTTTTATTAATGTTAACAAGTACTAACTATTCAGTGGGGTCGTTTCACCACTTGGGATCCGTTCCAGACATGAAAGTGAACACGTCTACATTGCTTGAGGTGTAAGAACCAACTCGTTGAAAAACCTTTCTCTATCTATTATTTCCACGCTAGCTCAGCCAATCGAAATAGACTCCCTTATTATGGCTTCCATCTGACTTCGAAGGTCAACAACGGAAGTCGGAGCCAAGATACACTTTCGCTAAAAAATAATAGATTGTTAAACTACTATTTAACAATAAAAGCTTTAAAACCACTTGGACATAGCCACTTTTAATTATCAGACCTTGAAGAATTTTGCTGAGATTGAATGTTCGAGTCTCGCAGATAAAATCCTTAGTTTATCGAGTTTAATCCTCATCAATTCTTCTGTTCTCATGGTTCCTACGCCAGGCTAAGTTTATTAAACATTTTTTTAAAGAAAGGATTTCTGAATTAAAGAATAAATCTGTATTTTAGACGGACATCAAGATATTTCTCTGCTTTTCATTCTGTTGTGTGAAGCTGATTTTTACACCGTAAAACGTACTTTAGAATGACTTTGTGTCTTTGGACTGTTTTAAACATGTGGTTAAGAAAGCAAGCTGTAAGGATTTCATTTTCGTTCTCGAATAATTCGTAGCAATTTGGGTTTCGGGATATTGCATCGCATTTGCTGTAAGCCGTGGTGATTCAGCGTTATTGATGCAGTTTCTAATCCCATTGTCGATTTTTAATTAACAGACATTTTTATTTTCCATTATTTTTATCATTATATTACTAATTTGCCGACAGAAATATTTTTATACGTAGCCAAAATTGAATTACTTCGGACAAATAACTTGAAAAGATAAGCAAAATATTACCTTAAAATAAGAATAAAGAAGAAATAAAATATTTAAAGTACGTTGGAATGGTAATTCTTTTCGGAAAATTTCGGAACAATAAAAATGGAATATCTTTGGACATTTAAAGGCCAAAACTTTAGGCTGAGTAATGTGGGTGTCGAATTATAGTGCATATTTTATATCATAAGATACATACCCTTGCAATATTATAGTCATACATTTCACTTTACGCCACTTCGCTTTTACAAAAAAAAAAAAAAAAAAAAAAAAAAAACTACATTAATACAAGTTTCCTCTTTATTCCGAAATGGCGTAAAGTGAAGAAGCAATTATTGGGCATGTGAAAAATTGAAATCGATCCCAGACCAAAAAATAGATGTTTGAGGTTTGTCGTCTCTGATTAATGTATAAGGTTTGAAATATAACATTATGCTTGCCTTCTTAGCTTCACACATTTGTCATTCGTAAAGTTTTTTTTAGGCTTTTAATATGATGTAGTGACATCAGTGTCAGCCGATATCTTGTTAAATGAAAACATCTGAAAGATATTACAAAAATTGTTTCGACAGCTGTTGTTCTATCAAATAAGTGAAAGGGACCTCACAAGAAACATGTCAAACGATACTGACAAAATAGGTCATTGATTGAAGACAGACCTTGAGTTCCTGATGAATGGCCTTTTTTTAAAGACAAAGATGGTGAGACAAAGAACGTTGTCTCTATAAGACCGTGGTCATTGGCAGCCGAAAGCGGAGAGATCCACAGAGAATGAACAGAAACCTCTCGCCGCGACGCGAAAAGGAAGATAAGCCCTTTAGACTGTTTGTTCCCTGGCTTTTGCCTCGCACTGCCTCTCTCGTCTACAGCCGAAGGTTACAACCAGAATAAAATTTGCTGACTGCTACAACAAACTCATGGTTTTATTTCATAGGTAACGATTTGACCAAAGAGTTATTCTTAAGCCACAAGCGTTTGACTGGAAGAAGCTGTACCCAGAGAACGAACTTGGTGTTTGGTCTGACCTGCAACGGCATAATATGCTTCCAACCTGCAATCAACCTACGTGCCCTTTGTAAAATGAAATCATTACAGCAGTCTGTCGTAGATAAAATTTCATTTAAAGCTTATTTTCCGGGTTTGAGGAATCGGAGAGCCGAGTTCGAATTCCAGTCAAGTTCATTATTCTCTTACATGCTAATAACCTTAGGGAAGGTACACTTGTCCCACACTCTCCAATGTGTAAATAGTAGGACAGACTGTGTTCTATAGCCTTGGATGGCAGCCTGTATAGAAGGAAAAGGAAATCTCTGAAATCTCAAATCTGTATGTAGCCTTGGCGAAGTACATAGTATAAAGCTAAGGAAAGGATTGTTCGCATTGACTCGATGATCCCGACTACGGTCGACTCCTTTCTTCATTTAAATGCCTTTTCGACTAACGGTTCCATCAAAATGCTCTAGTTACGGACAACTGGCAGATCTGTAATTAAAAACAATTTTTTTGCATAAGAATTAAATAGCGTTATCCGAGTGATCTGATGATCTGTTTGTTGTCGATTAGTATCGATTATCGATTATCAAGAAATGGTTATCTGTTGATTAGTTTAAGAGCCTGTCTTAAGTATATGATCGATATCATTATTCTAAATTTTCGATAAGCTTTACGTCTCATCTTTAATTAACCTTCCTGGAAATGAACAATGAAAACTCCAAAGAGAGAAAATCGTTAAAGAATGCCAAGAATTTGATTTATTAATTGGTCTTAATTCGGCTAACCTCAAAGTGTAAAGGGACAAGTACAAAGAAAAGATAGAAAATGGGTGATGGCCGTGATGGCTTACGGAAGCTAAAAAAAAAAGTTACAATCTTAGCTTGGCGGGAAAATCATACAAAAAAATATTTAAAATAAGCAATATCTTAATTGTGTGTGTAGTAGTGGAACTGACGACCCGAGTTCAAATTTCGTCCTACTCTGTTGCGTTCACTTTTGGACAAATGACTTAGGTAAAACAAGAATCCGTCTCTTTCCTCCCCTGGCTATGGGTTAAATTGCATTGTAAATTAACTTCTCCAGCATTGGTTAGCAGTCTAAAAGAAAAACTCTGAATTCTTAACTGTAGAGAAGGTAACGAGAAATTACTCTACTATATTTCCTAAGAATACATTGTAATTCGCAGAAACTGTGGAGTGCCACGATCGCCTACATCTTGAAGGGACATAGCATTTTAAAAATATCTTAAGTGAATGTTGACAACGAGAATCTATTCTCCGACTTTACAAACAAAATCTAAAAGAGACTTGTGTTTTTATAGTAAATATCACCCAATACAAAAACTCTAGAGGGTTACTACAGAAATAGTAATGGCAATTGAGCTATATGCTACGAATGGAAGAGGTGCTGGCAAGAAATAATAATTTTTTTTAAGCATTTCACCCCAAGTAAGGCGGGATGCCACTAGCACGCAGGGGGTCACAGAGTGGGAGCAAGAGTAAAGAGGCGTGATGGAGGAAAGGATGAAGAGAAGAACTGGGAATAGATCAGAGCATCTTGAGATGACGATTGACATTACATTTGAATAGTTGATGATTAGAGCTATCAGGGAAACAAGTAATAGAAAAGGAGTTCCACAGATGGGAGGTGCGAGACATGAAGCTATTGGAGTAGAAGAGGCGGCCACATTTAACCGTTTCGACAGTGAAAAGGTGGGACCGTGATACCTGCCTAGTAACACGCTTAAATTCCTGCAGTCTGGGAACTAGCAAAAGTAGTTCGTCAGTGCAGTTACCGTGAAAGTATTTGTAGAAAAGACAGAGAGAGGCGACGGCACGTCTGTGGGAGAGCGACTGTAGACGAGTTACCAGATCAGGACCAATCACATTGCATATCCGTCTTTGGATTTTGTCGAGGACATTAAGGCAAACAGCAGGGGTACTAGACCATATATGGCAGCAGTATTCCATGGGGAAAGGGAGGAAAGGCGACAACTGACTCTTCACCTGGAGAGGCTAAGATTGTAGTGTTTGAAGGAGAGCACACACGCCGGAGTCTGCTGCACAAAGTGATTGTTCTTTGGGAAAAGAGCTGAGTGGAACTTTCTTATATTTGGGACATGGAGGAAATGAAGATGATTCGATTCCATGGAAGTGGCAAGGCGTGTCCTATCTGAAAGATCCAAAGTGGGTGGGACAAGAGAACAGACTTTGTCAGCCTCATTATCATCTCTCCACTGACTAACAAGTTTTTATTTTTATGCATATAAATCAGCTTACAACCATACCACGTTGGAGCATTGGCTCTCGTACGATTGCCGAAGTTAAGCAACGTCCAGCCTGGTTAGTACCTAGATAGGTGATGACTTGAGAATATCCAGTGCTGTAAGTTTGGGTTTATGGGTAGCGTAATAAATAATGGTTTGTAATTGTTAATCGGAGAGCCGAGTTCCAATTCCAGTCGGGTTCGTTAAATTCGCTTACGCGCAAATACTTTTGGGAAAGGCATGAATCCAACTCTCCCTCCAGCTATAGGTTAATTAGTAGCACTTGTATCACTAAACCCTTATTATTTAAAAAAATATTCTTACAATTTAAATCTATTTTCTGGCTTTAGATAACCTGCAAAGTGTTGATAAGTCGTAGAAAATGAATCAACCAATGAAATACTGATTAGCTACACAGGCATGTCTTTTAGATTTATTTACATTCTCTGGAATATAAATGTACAGAAACTGAACTGGGAAAAAGTGGGGGATCAGTTTATATATTGATTGTAATATAGAATTGACCCCCCTACTTTTATCCTATAATTTATTGTTAGTTTATCAAATTCTGATTCGGTATGAATCCAACTCTTCTCCCCTCAGCTATGGGTTAAATAGTAAGGCTTGTACCACTAAACCATTATTATCTAAAAAAATATCTTTGCAATGTAAAAATATTTTTTGGCTTTAAATAACCTGCAAAGGGCTGACAAGCCGTAAAAACGAATCAATATTTTAAAAAAATCAAGTTTAAATCTAGTAAATCATTTCATCTATTTTATCCTTTGAACATTCTGTGACGTTTTATGATCGGCTCGTCAGATGTGGCACAAGGCTGTCCTTACGCGCTACAGTTGATAGGAAAACGAAGAGAGAGAGAGAGAGATAGAGAGAGAGAGAGAGAGAGAGAGAAATCTGAAGAGTAGATGAGAGAAAAGAAGAGAATATAAAATATATCAAAATATTAATAATAATCTCCGAATCTAGGATATCTACCAACGGCCCCACGCAGTCAGATGTGACACAAGACCGAATTTAATGTGGGGTATCTGAGCCCGTAGGCTCGGCCAAAAATTCCTCGTAAACCCCGTATAAAACGGGGTAGGTGTTTCCTGAGACCAGACTCTGCCCTTCGACAGAACCTCATCTGGGGATCCTCTTTGCCCGGAAGCAGAGCGTTTGACCAGCACAGATGGAAACAAATCTCCAACTCTAGGATATCTACCAACCACCCCACGCTTTCAGGTGTGGCACAAGGCTGAATTTAATTTGGGGTATCAGAGCCTGCAGGATCGGCCAAAAATTCCCCTAGACCAAGTATAAAACGGAGTCGGGTAGCTGTTTCCCGAGACGAGACTCTGCCCTTCGACATAAGGCAGAGAGTTTGACGAGTACAGATGGAGACGAATCTCCAACTTAAGACCACGTACAGTATTCACTACTGTATTTATGGGAATGAGGACATACCCATTATCGGACGTAGATATGCAACAACAATTATATAATATGTGTATTTATAAGATAATAGTGTAAGTACTTATAATACTCATCTCAGAAATATCATTTCTGTGTAAATTTCTGGGATTAAGAGTGTTATTATGATTTACATTATTTACATGAAGTATCCTCTTCTTTGTTGTTGTTATCAAAACGTTTCGGTCGTTGTGCCCTCCCGCCTTCATCAGGTGTATCCACAGGGAATTTTGAGCAAAACCCGTTAATTAATATGCATAGGTAGACAGTTTTCATTTCACTGTCCATGTCTAGGGGAGATAACTCGTTTTGTTCTTATTTTAGTAATGCTAAACAATTGCTCGTCCATTTTCACTGAGTCCAAGTACACACTGCTTGGATTGAACTGACAATTACTATATCACTAAAGCAGTCATCAGCAGGTAGGTTAGGTTTAAGGCTCCAAATTCTCTACATAGAATTGTCTCATTATTTAACGTCCTCTCCTGATCCAGTAAAAGCGTGCTGAGAGAGGACGCAAGACAGATAATTTGCTGACATTGTCATGGTGATAACAACAACAAAGATGAGGACAATGGTCTGCATGTAAATAATGTAAATAATGAGAAGATGGATTCGTACTTTTTGGTCCTGGAAACAAAAGAAGAAAAACAAGAGAAAACCGTGTAAACGCCGAATAAAAACAAAGAAACCAATGAACTAGAGAAAAAGAGAAGAAAGTTTATAGAACTAATTGGTTCACTTGAACTACTTGAATTCTTTATATCAATGTATGTATGTATGTATGTATGTATCTATCTATCTATCTATCTATCTATCTATCTATCTGTGTCTGACAGTCATTCTATCTATCTATCTATCTATCTATCTATCTATCTATCTGCCAGTCATTCTATCTATCTATCAGTCCCTTTTAAACCTGAAATATGTTTTCGGAACATTAAAACAAGAAAATGACTTTATATCCTTTGTCAATCAGTTAATAGTTATATAAAAACACATGAAAAGATTGCCTTGTTGAAATTTACACCATTTCCTTTCACCTCTATTAATAACGATGACCCATCATTTACGTGCCTAAATTTTGATTGTCACTGCATTACCAATTAAGGCCAGTACCATAACATATGGTGACTTCCCGATAAAATCTGATCATGCATCTACTCTTTCCAGCATAAAATAATATTTAAATGAAGAATATTTCAAGAAAATCCAGCCCAATTACATAAACACAGAATATAGAGACACGTAAATATATATTAGTTTGGAGAGACTGTCTCGGTGATTCAACCCAAGTAAAAACCGCCATCTTGAAAGATCTCCATCAAAATCCACACTTTTCTTCTTTTCTATTGTTTCCTGTGTCGTCATAATCTGAGCCTGGAATGAGACAGCACGACTCGAAATGTGGCAAAACTGGTAATTCTTTCTTTCATTCTTCTGTGATAAATACGAAATCAATTATTTCTGAAATTCTTCCGACTTGCAGTCTCAAAAATAAACTTCAACATATATTTTCACTGATTGCTTTTTTTTTCTTTTCTTTTTATGCCATCTTTGATCTTCGTTTCTTCTTTTATATTCGTTTCTTTTGTCTTTTTTCAAAGATGCGAGCAAAAAATATCTTTTATTTTAGCGTTTTAGTAAACAAATAATTTTTTATAAAACAAATGAAATGAAAAAGTGGGTGAAGGAAGGAAGGAACAAAATAATGTTAGAAAATATCAGAGAAAAATAGAATGAAAATTAAATATGGAAGAAAGAAAATGGAAAAGAAAGAGTATGACACGAATGAGGCAGAAATTAAAAAAGAAAAGAAGAAAAAGAAGGGATTAATAAGATGGAAATCAATGAATAAATGAACGAAGAAAAGAAAGGAAGGATCGGAGTATGGTAGAAATTAAAGAAGAAGAAGAAGAAGCAGCAGCAGCAGCAGCAGCAGCTTCTTCTTACTTGCGACCGCATGCATCTGTTGCGGGAAAACGCAATTTACACATAGTTAGAGACAATAAATTAAAACCAAATTTATACAATTATTAGAAAACATATATTTCTAACGACACACCAAATTTGGTCTAGCTAAATTACACGCAAGCCGCTCTCTACTCAATTTTTTTTTTTAAAAAAGAAACAGATATATCTGACTGCTAGCCTTTAGTGAGACGAATCTCGTTTGCCACAGATGCTTTCGACTACGTCCGCGCGTTTTCCTTATATGAGCTATAAGAACCCGGACAGTAAGAGACAAATAGAAAGCGGAGAGAGACTTTACGCACGCACGGTTGACTGCCCATCCGACCATTAGGCTTTGTAAACGATCTCCTGTAAACACAGTAAATGAACGGACGCTGTCAACGCGACAAGCACAAGACGATAACTACCAAGCATATTCCTTTATCACGCCTCACTTAACACCTAGTACAACGCACCTTCAACCCTTTATCAGGCCTCACTTAACGCCTAGTACAACGTACCTTTAACCCTTTATCACGCCTCACTTAACACCTAGTACAACGTACCTTTAACCCTTTATCACGCCTCACTTAACACCTAGTACAACGCACCTTCAACCCTTTATCAGGCCTCACTTAACACCTAGTACAACGTACCTTTAACCCTTTATCACGCCTCACTTAACACCTAGTACAACGTACCTTCAACCCGCTACAGTATACCACTTACCAGAGACATTTTTATAACTTTTATATCAAAATAAATCTTTGGTAATTTATCTAAACAAGAGTCCAAGTTTTTTCTTCTACTCTAATCAAAGTCCACCTCGGATCAACACATCAAAGTTTCTCATTTGCCACCGCATCCATCATCCGAAGGCTGATTTTGATCGCCTGTATGTGACCAGATCCGAGGGAGGCAGAGACTTAGTTCAACTAGAACTGTTTTACAAAACTGCAGCGATTAGTCTTCAAAGATATCTGGAAACTACAAAAGACTGGATGATGATTTGTGTCAAAGAACATGAAAGAAATAAGAAACTTTATTTAGTAATAAAGGAAGCCAACAAGTTTAAAAGAGAGTTTCAAATTAGTGAATAAGTGAAAATAAACCATAATACACCGACTGCAACTGCAAAATACTTAAAAAAAGAAAGCAAAGACAAATGCAACCGACCAGATACAGAAACGATGGCAAGACTGCAACCGAATCGAGTCGAGCCGTTTCGGCATGACGGTCAAACTCTCTGCCTCTGAGCAGAATGGAATCCGGACGAGGCTCCGCAGAAGGGCAGAGTCTCGTTCGGGGAGGTTGACCAACCCGATTCAGTTTTTACAGTTTCTACGGCCTTGTGCCACATGCAACCCTCGTGGGGGGATGGCTAAATACCGAAACGATGGCAAGACAAACCTCTTCACGGTCAATATTCTGCCCGTACCAAACAATCTGATGTAGACAAACCCCTATCCATCAGTTGCTACGTAGTGCAGGGTTAAAAGCTGAGACCAAAGGTTTTATTCTTGCTTCACAGGACCAATGCTTGCTAACTTGAAATTACCAAGCAGACACACTGAAAAATTATGTTAGCCCAAAATGCAGATTCTGTGATAAATATCCAGAAACAATTGACCATCTTTTATCAAACCCGGCATGACAGAGTGAGCCAATATCTGAATTGGAATATCTGCAACTTTTA